CATGCATGCTTAGTTGAATGGTGAGATGCGACCCCCCTTCATTTCGTGCTCGGCAAGCCTGCCACCGCGTACCGGATATGTTGGCGATGTTACAGAACGCTGCACCTTGGTTTCTGTGCGCATTGCGTACGTTGCTCGACCCCGCCGACCAAAATTACACGTGCCCAACTGAAGACATTCCCGGTGGTTGTGCAGCAGCTCTTGAGGCTGTTGCTGGCTGAAATCCATCCTGAGCTGTTGCAACACGGCTAACGCGGGCACGTCCCTATGCACAGCAAATAGCTGTTCCAAGCCAACAGCGGCGTCCTTGTCACCGACAAGGCTCTAAACGTCTTATCTGTTCTTATGTTTAATTAAGTTTATGTATGTTATACTTTGCGCAACTTTGTAATTTCACTTTACTCTGAACAAGGTGCTGCATACAACTGCCTCTTCGCCAGCGCTTCATCTTCCGCGGCAGTTTCAAGAGCCCAGAGTTGCAAGCTACGACGTTGGCTTTCGGTGCTTTTAGTTACTGCAAAGCATCCACGCAATAGTCCAGCGTGCGGCTATGGCCAACATGCCCACCTGCGCAACGCGCTGGCGCACCTCGTCCTCATCCGCCAAGAAAATTTATATACACTTGTACAGGCGCATTTTGAGAATCGCACGCGCGCATCTGCGCGGCAAAATTCGCTCCTGACTTTTGGGACGAGATGTACGGAGTCTCTATTCGCGAAGTACGACCGGACACATTTGTGCGAGGGGCTGCTTAAACAGCCATGGCGACATCGGCAATCTATCTGATTTATATTCCGTGCTTGCTTATTAATAAGTGGCAGAATGAACTAGAACGACATAGGGTGTATTTCCAGTGCGGATTAAAAGGCCAGGGATACTTGCTCAAACGGCTAAGTTGTTGGCAAACTTATATCGCCTTTCCAACCTTTGGTTCCCTTATGGAACAAACCTATGTGGTAAGCTCGTACCAAGGATTTCCGTGCCCTAATCCCTGGCCTTAATCCGCACTGGAAATGCACCCATAGATGGTCTCAAACAATGCCTACATACCGAACCAGCTATGCACGCGATGTCAAAGGTGCGCACATGCCAATGTTGCAAGGGTGTAGATCATCAGAAGCATGCATAACGCAGCGCTGATTGCTTGACTGTCTCCTCCGTCCGCGCACTTCCTCCCTCCACAGTGACGACTTCTTTGGTTTCCGGGAGGCCACTGTGCTTTGCCGTCAGCTGGGCTATTCGCGGGGCAGTGCGGTTTACCAGTACAATAACAAAGCACCCTGGGGCCCAGGAGACGGACCCATCCTGATGGTGAGTCCACCATGCCCGCACTTTGCAGCCGACGTCTCGCGCCTGCAGCTGCCCATGATGACGTGCTGGGCCGCCAACTCAACCTAGCCATGAGAAGAAGTTGCTGAAGCGAATAGCTAGCATCGCTAGTCTCTATATTGTTATTGTATACTGTTCCGCTTGTGTGCGCCCTACGGCCCTACGGCCAGGTCTCGCGCGAACGAACAACAAAAGCACGGAAGGAATTAGTCGTTCAAGCTTCGTTTCGTTCCGCTCTCGTTGCTGGGGAACTTGCCGTTTTAGCACTTGCAGTTTCACTGGATCCAGATATGTGCTTCTGACAGCAGCACATACAGTCGTATGGTAGGTGTCATCACGGCAAGCCGTGACTTTAAGCCAATGGCTGGGGCAGCTGTGGCTGTATGCAGTAGCTGGTACACAGTACGGCACACATATCAACTACAAATACGCGCAAAGCGCTCGACCAGCATCTCGAGAGGCCTTTTCAGCGGTTCAGCCAGCAACACCCCTTTCTCCGAGAGAGTCGATTCATGTATCGCTCCCACGCAGGCAGATAATCAGAGCTAACGCATGTTTTCCTCACGTATGCCGTACATACATACTTACATACATGTATACACATCGTCGTCCATGGTATACACAGGATAACGTCCGATGCATGCACACAAAAGGTGGCTCTCTTCCTGGGCGCTTATGGGACTGCCTATTCAACGGATGGCGCATAAACGACTGTTCGCATGACGAGGTCGGTTTATGTAAACTTATGTGGTTGTGTGTGCTGTTTGCTCCCCAGACTTGTCTTTTCACGGTGCATGCAAGGTGTACGAGGGAACAAACCCTATACATCTCTATCGCATTCTCCATCTATCTGCCTTACCTACGGGAGTAAGGACGTTAGGAAGTGAATGCTGTTGAGGTTGAAAGCTGGTATTTCTCTTTCCTGCTTTTCGCAGTACTTGTAACGACCAACGCGTATGCATGTATGTACGTATGTACGTATGTATGTGTGTGCGTATTTCCTTGCAGGATGTGGGCGTGGTTTGCACTAAAGACGTCTATCCGCCTGAGGAGGATGCATCCCCTTCGTCCCCTCCACCCCCTCCGACGTCCCCAGCGCCATCGCAACCCTATCAACCCGAAGGTAAAATATGAAACTCACTCAACATTTCCGCTGATCACGGTGACCACGCTGTTTCGAAGCGCATTGCCTACGAGCTTGCACTGCGTAGTTCGTTCTGCTTCCCGGCCTTCTTTTGGCCGAGTGGCGGTTTTAGTACCCCCAGGATGCGGATTGGCCCTGTTCACGGTGGTGCGTGACCCTCGCTTGCGCTCGTGCTCGTGCTTACGTACGTGAGTGCGCGCGTGCATGGCAGAGGCTACGCCCCTTCATCCTACTGACCGATAGTCCTGAATTAGAATTTTCACTTGCGGGGGTGCTTGCATATTGTACAGCAGCAGGGCGCTGGAGGCCCTGACAACACATACTTATTGCCTGTATCTTGACTGTATGTACGTCATCTTTACGAAGCTTCTGTAAAGAGAGAAGCGCGTGCAGACATAGTAGGTCGGTGCGTATAGTTTTACGTGCGGCGCGTGGGAAGATATCACTGTAACAGCGGTCCTGCGCTGGCTTGGGCGTGAGTTGAGAGGAGGCGGGGATAGTCCGGTTGGTGTGAAGGGTCCGTCGTTTCATATATCTTCCACCTGCTACTACTGCTGCCCGTTCCTGCCAGTTGTTTCCGGTATATAGGAACACAGCGAGACAGGCTAACTTGTAGCTCTATGTAGCCTCCAGTTTTGGTGTACCGTGTCATTATTGGATTTTCCATAGCTACCTCTACTTGAGGAACAACGCGCCTCAGCGGTTTTCACATGTTATCGATTAGGTCTCTTGTCCCTGGCAACATGCATGCGCCGCAATGGCGTGCGCCCGATGCGCGTCCATCTAGACATCCATAATGTATGTATGTATGTATGTATGTATGTATGTATGTGATGCATGGTGTGAGTGCGAGCGACCATGGATGGCAGGAATGAAGAAGCAAGCCACATTATTTGACACACTCGCTAGCTCGATTCATGCAAGTTACCATGTACCCCATCCAGCAGTACGTACGAGCTAGGATAGGTGGAAATGGTGTATTAGGCGACTGGCTGGGCCGCATCCTCTAAGCTCGTGGTGGGGCGCATGGGGCCAGCCACGCCGGCGAGCTAGGTGCCATGCAGGCCGGCTGAAAATTAGGCTTTATACACCTACTTCGGACCTTCCTGCTGCCCTCCTGGGAGAGGGTTATACATAGTGATCCTTCGAAATAGACTGTTATTAATCATGTAGACAGTTGTTGTCGTTATTATGTACTCCACGATTTACGGCAGCGCCGGCGGTTAACAATCCATCCGTGCTTCTCTCCGACCATCGCTCAACTTCCTGTTACCTAAGCCCATATGTCTTTTACTCATTGCGGTGGCAGGCAACCTGTTAGTGCAATTCATGCCTTCGGAGGCAGCAGATAAACAAGCTTGCACGGACCCCTATTTAGGAATCCAGGCAGCCCTACGAACTGCCTAGCGCACCAAACCCAGCGCCGGGGGCGTACGGACAGATGTATTGTACGACCCGCTTTATCCCCGTACTCGGGAGTTTATAAACCCTCGTGAAACTCCCCACTACCTGCTGCCTACCTGCGCGCGTGAGTCTCTTGCAAGGTTCGCCGTAAAACCATGTGTGTGCTGCAAAGGCCTTTGGTTCATTTTCCATCTGTAGATTGATAGGAAGGCGAGTGGCCTTGTCCACGATGCATGCTTAGCTGCAGTACGGTCCCGCCTTGGCCTAGCTAGCTATTTGTGGCGGCCGAAGGGTGCGTTCATATGTAGTGTAACTCGGAGAAAAAATGCAAGCCCACTTTATTCCGGCGAATCGAATTGATTACATGCGTTTGATAATGCAGCAGCAGGAGCAGCAGCAGCACATACAGTCGCAGTTTGTCTGTGACTGCCCAGGGCAAGCAGACAAGCAGAAGTTAAGGGTACTAAATGTATACCTACTTATGGCCATTTAAACACAAACTATCACCAGCATCTTACATGCGTGGCAGGAAAAGTGGTCGGGGGCTTTTGCCTAGTGTAATATCAATGTGTAATGCCAACGTTATTTCATGATCCTAAATTACAAACTGCTTTTAGTTTCTTTCTGTACTGAAAGAATTTGTTGGTAACTACATCGTATCTGTAATAATGCCGTGTAGTACGGCACACACATCGTGTATATATACGCGCTAAGGCACACTGGCGAATACTGGGAAGATATTTCCAGGGGCAAGCTAATACAAATTTCTCCCGCCAAATACGGCCCCAGCTACCACAATCAGTTTGCAGGAATAATTTGAAATCATTAAAAATCACTTCCCACCTAATCCCTATTCGAAACCCAATTCGGTCGATCCATACTAAGTTATACTACATACAATATGAAAAAGTCCTGGATATCTAGGACACTGCAAGTTGCCCTGAAGAAAACCTGGGGTACGTAGACCAGTAGCCAGCGCGTTGTGCGAGTAAATATTTAATAAGTCTTCACTTCAAAGCTGGCAGCTCACATAACCCTTACGTGAGGTCGCGCGGCAGTCCACGCATATCCACGGGGAGGCAGCTACTACTGCTGTGCCATGCTGCCTCTGAAGCTACTCCGCAAGGATCTGCAACGTATGTGCCTATCTCCTTACACTTATGGGATATTGCCGTATGCAATTCCTAGACTTCTCTACACGTACGGCCGCGGTCGGTAGATCCAGCTGATGTAGCAGGACCTGGCAGGACTACTGTGCTATCCACCACCTTTGCTTGCACCGCCCCAAATAGAGTGCTTGCTGCCTGCCCAGCCAGAAACGAAATGCATGGCTGAGCAGGCCTATTTAATCCGGGATCCCTGCCTGTGTGAGGTGCACATCGATCTCCGTAGATCTCTAGGAAGCAGTTCGTATTAATTTAATAGTAGGAAATCAATTTTCCATTAAAAGTAGTACATTGGCAAGGAGTCGAAGCTAAGAAGGTTACACTGTGGAAGTAATGCAGTTGTCTATCTCGTAGCCGTGGGATAGGGGTTGCATCATCACAAATCGACGACCGTTAAACGTCCGCCGCCTCATCGCAGACAAAGCACATAGAGGTAAGCAAGCAGAAATAGGTGTGACGGATGCCACATTAAATGCTCTGACGGCCTGCTACCGGAGAGTCGAACTCAAAGTCAATGCCAACGCGGTGCCGGGAGATTCCTTTCTCTCATTCCAAGGGGTTAAACAAGGTTGCCCGCTGAGCCCTACTTTATATGACATTTTGGGGAAGGGTGGATGCCAAGGACCGCCTTGCACCAGACGCGATGGCAGTTATTGACTGCTGCCCGTCGGTGATACCGATCCCGATCCCACTAAAGCTTTACCTAAGTCTCGTCGCTTTATCACACAGCCGGCTGATGGCACTACTGCGCGCGCTGAGGGAATGGTGTCAGGCTTCTATTTCGGGAGTTAACGCAGAAAAGTGTGAGATCTCGTACCCCCCGTACATGATATCCATGATGCATGCAAGGCGACATACACGTGGGGCGGCCCGCCCGGGGTATGGATGGGCTTGTTCCCATCACTGTGGCGTGAATGTGATAAAAGCCTTGCCTTGGAAGGGTCATGAGTGGTGTACCTAGGAGGGCTGCATTAGCAGGACCAGGCTCATGAGCCTCCTGGCACGTTTTGCCCGTACAGGACCAAGAAGCTCGTTATCAAAACGTCAAAATGTCAAGCATTAGCGTAAAATCCAGGCCTAAAACGTACACGCTTCCTACTGTGCTTCTATGGTGCTCCAGTTAACGATTACCTGGTGAAGCTGGCGGGCGGGGACTCACCAAACGAGGGCCGCGTTGAAATCTTCAAGGATGGCAGATGGGGCTCCGTATGGTAGGTACTAATAATGATGCCTGGAGAAGTACAGTTATTGATCCAGAGGGCGTCTGTCTATATAGACAGACGATCGTCTCGCGAGTCACGACGTAAATTGGTCAAGCCCTACATATCAAGATTGAGCTTCCTTGATCAGCTACTTCAATCCTACACTAGGCAATGTGCTACTAGCGGTATGGACGAAAAATATGTCAGGACGAGGTCATGAAGGGGATCCGACCAGCACTGTACCGCCCGCACCCAAGCACTGTGCTTGTTGTTCAAAGGATTGGACCCGAGATTAGGCTGTACTTTTGTGCTGGCGTAGAAGACTATTATTGCACATGCTGCTGCTCTTAGTCCTACCTGCGCCCGTTCCCCCCCAGTGCTGACGGCTTCAGCGATGTGGAGGCCACTGTCGTGTGTCGCCAGCTTGGCTATGGATCGGGTGTTGCCCTTTTCCGGTACTACAGCTATACAAATTGGGGACGAGGACGTGGACCCATCCTCATGGTATGTATGTATGTATGGATAGATGGATGCATAAATGCCAAAGCCGTAATATATCTCTCCACGAAACGCCTACGCTCCTTTCTGGTTTTCTGGTCCTGGTCTTCAACCGAATCCATGCAGGACAACGTTAACTGCCAAGACTCACCAAATGGCCTCCCAGCGCGCTTATGGGATTGTTCTTTCAACGGTTGGGGTGTACACGATTGCTCACATAAGGAGGTGAGCTTTTTTCGCCCGCCGCTCTGGGGAGGGTCATGTTGAATTGGCGAGCAAGCTGGCCACTGAAAAAGGCTATCTTTTGCAACAACGATAGTTGTTACAGAAATTCCCGGCCGTACAAAACGAGTTGGATGAGGATGAGTGCATCTCAACACACAACGGAACCTCGGGAGGCCGGTACAGAGGTTACGCACGTGTACATTGCTTGCGCATGCCGTACTTGTGCATGCCGTACTATCCGACAGCTGTTCTCGGGGCCTAAAGCCACACCAGCCTGCGCCTACAATGTTCTATCCCTCGGGCCATGCGTGTGTATGTGGGTAATCACTTCACGACGCCCAATGCCCATCTTTATGTATCTAGCTAGCCCCTTGAATTTGTCACGCGCAAATGGGGCTCGAACATTCTCCCTGTACCCCATGATGCAATTTTCCTGAAAGGGCCATGGGACTCAGACACCTAACCTTCCTGACGTGCAGTCTCGTACGTACGGCGTGCCAATAACAACTTTAAACTTTGACAGACCGGCCGAGAAAGAGTTCGAAATCCTTTATCCAAGACATGCAAAGCGTTGTTAAATTAAAAAGGTCATCTATCCTCCGTGGCTTTGCCACCGTGGCCGACAGCCCTTGCGATTAATGTTGAACCCAAAACAAGTGCCATTCGCCTCTCCTTATGCTGCAATGAGTACAACTTTTACGTGCTTCTATCCGTAGGCTGGGCGCCCCCCACGCGCCTGCCAGCACCAGCAGGCTAATCTAGGAAAAAACGCACACCGCCATGCACATCACCACGCCAGGGCCACATGCATCAGGCAAGGGAACGTGCGCCAGCATGACATGCAGTTTTGCCTCAATGGTAGCGCTCGTCACGGGTCCTGAAATCGTTTTAAAACTCTTCAGTGCCGGCCACCAGTGCAACCACGCGCGTCCCCTCTCCCCACGGCCAACTCCCTTCGGAACAGCTTCATCCCCGTCTGCCAACGTGTTGCTGTGTCCCCGGTCCCGGCCCACCCAGTAGAAAAAAGGTCACTTCAACTCCCGCTTGCCGCCAAGGCTCCTATAGGCCCCCGTTTCTACGCTGCTTGTTTAGCGCGTTCTTTGCGTCATTACAGAGTTAGTCGCAATGTGACAAGACAAGAACCGATTAACGGACAATTGCAAGAGGTTTCTAGGTTATGTAAAGTGTGTCCAAATAAAGGGAGGAGCGTGGGTCAGGAGAGGAAAAAGGACCTACGAGTTTTTGTTTATTGTCTACTTTTTACTTACCAGGCAAAATCCCGGTTTCACCTAGATAATAGCCCAGACCTTAGCAGGGCGAATCCGTCCTAGGACACAGGCCTGTAACTTTTGGTTGCTGACTTCACGCGCTAACATACACTGCTTGACGCGTGAAAACACAGACACATACAGACGTACGCACGCACACATGTACACATGATCACACACATACACCTATGTACATGCATGCCTCGTGGGCCACAATGTGTGCGCGCCGCTTGCTTCGTCGCAGGATGTGGGTGTGCGCTGTAGTTCTGAGAGGTCTCCACCATTGCCACCACCGCCGCCATCACCGCCTTCATTCCCCACAATTCCGGGCAAGTGGAGGTTGCTTCTGCGTGGCCTTCACCTAGTAGTATGCTATGCTATGCGCGTTGGGTCAGGAAGTCATCCAGTGTTTCGTGATCGTCTATCGCTAACGTTATTAGTGGGATGTCATCTACTCGCATCGTTCCCGTACCACCAGCTGGTGGGGGCTGACACGGTAAAAGCACTAGGGAAGCACAGCAGATTCTCAGAGACGCAGCAGGTTCTCACACTTTGTGAAAAATACGCCCGACCGATGCATGCATATAGACACTCCTACACACTTTATCCAACATAAACACCAATTCCCTCAGACGAATGGATGAATCTGGCGCTACATAAGGCTGTCTTTGCGTCATCAAGCCACATGCACTGGATGTGCAAAAATTACGACTGCAAGCCGGATAACGCGGTGGATGGGGACACCAGCAGCCAACAAAGCCTCTTTTCGTCAGCACCCAGCGACACGAGCCCGTGGCTGTCCATTGATTTGGGAGCTATAGCCATTGTACACAGCATCATACTCTACAAAAACCCATTCTGTTGGTGCGACTGGTTGGTCAATGCGTCGTTGCTGGTGGGCAATGCCAGTATCACGTCCGACGACATGAGTGATGCCACGACCCGTATCAGCCCAAATCAATTGGTATGGAATCAGACGGAGCTCGGTACGACTGGTGAGAAGGTTTACATCCAGGTGGACCCCCCAGTCGTGGGCCGCTGGGTGACCCTGCAGAACGGTCCACGCCAGATCAACATTGGGGAGCTGGAGGTGTACGGTACCTTGGCAGGTAGGTATGCGTGCATACACGTGTGTTTGTACTCAGAGGGTTGCTGCCAGTCATCATTTGTGTAGCGGAAGTGTGATGTATTAACCGTTTTGACTGTTTTTAATTACATATACAGCCCAAAAGAGCCAAGAGACTCGTGTGATTTATCATTATCAGCTTGGCTGTATCCTACCAAGTAATAAGGCAACGAAGGCACGGTTGGCCGTTAAGGACTCCATGCACGCGCACAAAAGGCCCCAAGCTAACAGCGCACAAACCCCCCCCACCCACTTCATTAACATGCAGCGCCACTGCCGCCGCAGCCGCCGGCCGCACCCTCGGGCCCGCCTGCGGTTGACGACCCACCTGTACGCGGTATCAACTCACAATGCGGCTCCGCGGGGCAGTTTGATATGCACGCGCACGGTGTCTGCGTGGAAAGGACCCTAGGTAACTTTCCCTGTCCTTATATGAACGCTGTCGGCAGAATCAACGTCATCTACCGCCTCATTTATGAGAACCCCGACGGTTCTCGGTCCAGCGGCGGGTCAGCACTGACCATGGAGTGCGTGGAGCGAACATCTACATTCCCCATGCTGTATGTGGAGTTCCGTGAGAATGTGGCATTGGCCCCCGGGCAGTTTGTGGTGCTCCAACAGCAGAACCGCACAGTGTGCAGCTCTGGCGGCCCCTGGGACGATGTCATGCGCGTCAGGTGGTCAGTGCCCCGGGACTTCCTATGGATAGGAGCTCCAGCCGCCCCGTCAACCGCCAGCGCTTACAACTGTCCCCCCTTGGAATCTTCCCCGCGATTGTCTACACCATCGCTACCCTTGTATCCACCTTACACTCCGCACTGGGGTGATTATTATCAGCCGCCACCGGGGGATCTGATCATGACGCCAAGCTCCCCTTCATCAGGTTCGCATTTATACTTTGCTGCGGGTGCCTAATAGCTCGGGATGTACGTATTTACCTTTCTCTACACCGAAACTCTTGCACCACCCTACGTTATCTTTGTTGCTTGTGTGGTTCATACATCCCGCTTTGGTTACAGCTGAAGTTCCGCTCCATCACCCGGACATAGCGGACATTATGGACGTGGTGCTTGCCATGCCTGCACGTATTTACACCAATAAAACTGATCTTATAATCTCGTGCATGTGCTGTTGTCGTATGCAGGGACACCGGGCACTAGATAGGAGCGACTTCGGACGGAAACCTCCCCTAGCTAACCCCCCAATCCAGTAAGTTTAGCGTACAAAATTTGTTTTGTGATGATTGGAGTGCCAGTCCTGAGTCTCGAACGTGTAGTGCTGCATCTTCCACCGCCACCTGTACGGATGCTGGGGAATCCCTTTTCCACGCCTGCATGCTGATGTGCATGTGCACGACCGATCAATTAGAAGACCATCCGCCGGGGGCTGATCATGACGGTATAGCACAAGACCGCCGTAGTATAATTTTCTAATAAGCTGCATTACTTCTGCATGTATGTACAGGACTTGCTTAAGGCCCGCATTGCTTAAACGTCATCGCGTGATCCGTACTCACTACTAACTTATTGTGGGGAAGGCCATTGCGTCTGCGACCACACTCCCGCGGTACCCAAACCCTTCAAAGACAATTCCGATCAGCCATTTGGCTGTTAGTGGGAGGGCGGGTGGGCCGCTCGCACGGCAATCGAGTAGAGAGTACGAAAATAACCTAATGCAGTCATCGACAGCAGAAAACGTAAGCCTCCAGCCTCATGCCGACTCTCTTACCTACCATTCATATTCTCTACCTCGTTCCCAAGACTCCGCCGCGTTGCCTCTAGTTCGGCTCGTGCCACAGGTAACTTCGCTCGTCGCTACTTTGCCATTCACCTTCGCCTCCACCCAGCCTCTGCTTCTCCACAGAAGCGGCGACCTCCTTCGCCGTTGTTACGCCTCGTCTATGCGAATCCTCCTCATCCGACTGTGTCTTCTGCCTACCCGGTGCGCGCCCCCTCTCTCTGCGCATCCTTTTCTCTGGCCCTCTCTTACGGTTGCCTACCTTACTGCAGGACTCGCCCCTTGCCTGTCCGGTGCCGGGCAGGCTTTCCTTGCCTTCCCCGGCCCTACTTGGGGCGCCCCTCCTCGGCTCGTCAACTACCTTACTTCCGTCCGTTCCTGCCCCTCGGGGGCCCA